TTACTATTACGTTCGCGCTGAGACAAGTGTACAGTGGTATATCAATAGTGTTTTACCATTACATTTGCGTTTCAAGAGACTATTGTACAGTGGTGTGGCAATAGTGTTGTATGGTTCTTCAGACTATGACAGTAAGTACAATGATCAAACTAGTCACCCTGAGATAAACACATCATACATGTTTGTTTCCAAATGACGATATTAAATTGAAAGTATGGCAGATGGGGTGTTTATTTCCGCCCTTCGTCCTCTCAAGTCCTCTAATTGTCGTCATTCTGCCGCCAAAATAATGGTGATATTACACACACGAAACATGCCATATTTTCCATGTATTATTTCGCAAAACAAACACGAGAAGCCATACATTAGCGCTTCATTCATGCAATAACGTTTATTCTAGAGGTTTTCATCTCTTTAAATAAACATCGTTTCAAAACAAGATAATCCGTCTTCATGTTGTTGGGTGCGTTCCCGTCACTCCCACTGAAAGTCCTTTAGAATGTCCTATTGTTTCCTTGTATAATTATCATCGGGAGTTGAAGTAAGGCTTCTTCATTGAGGAAGCTTGTCACAAGAAACATATAAAAGCATTCTCCTTATACAAGTAACAATTCACACAGGCAATCCCAAGAAATCGCCAGGTAAGTGCCAGGCAAGTGCCAGTGAGTGAATGCATGTTGTTTAACGCCGTAGTGATCATTTTTCCAACTACGAACACTTTTGTTTCGAAGAATAACGAACCTACGTAAATACTTCGAGTTACCCGAAGTTCGACATAACCCCCAAAGACTTAGAAAAAGGTAAGTACCAAGCTTTTACTTCGAGACAACCGTATATTCGACACACTGACGTAAATACTCGAATGTGACCCGTGAAGATCAGGGTTAGAATTGGTCTTTAGTAACCCATGCTTGTCGTAAGAGGCGACTAACGGGATCGGGTGGTCAGGCTTGCTGACTTGGTCGACACATGTCATCGTATTCCAATTGCATAGATCGATGCTCATGCTGTTGATCACTGGATTGTCTGGTCCAGACTCGATTATTTACAAACCACCGCCATATAGCTGGAATATTGCTGAGTGCAGCGTTAAATAACGAAGAAACAAAATACACGAATGTGGACCAGACAGACAAGTGATTGGAAGGCTGAACGCCTTTCGTGTAACGGGGGCAATGTCTGCATCCCAACATCATTAGGTTAGTTGACACTAAGTTCAAGCAGTTTTCTTGGGGACAATTATTACCCGAAATCATCACGCGGTGTCAAGTAAGAACGTTGAAAACAGTGCCAGTCGTTGTTTTGAGATACTCAAACTGTTCTTACACCTCGATGTGAGTTCAACCATCAGTTTGAATATTAAAGTTCTTGAAAGGCATGTAGAAATTGGCCGAACATGAATATATGACACGTTTGTATGGACATCAACTTCTTTTTATTCTTTATGCGAGGTTTAAAATGATGACAGCATCCTCTGCGATGGCGATGCAATTGCGTAGATTGATGGTCACGCTGTTGATCACTGGTGTCATGATGTCTCATTCACCTGAGCAAGAATTAACCCTGAAACGTCGTATAAAGATGAAAAAGAAGTTGATATCCATAAACACGTGTCACGTATTCAAGTATAAATAGTGGCCAAGTAATTCTCGTACTGCGATAATTAACACCACCATTCATAAAGTACGCCTAAGATGTTCCAGCGATGAAACAGTTGAAACGTTATGGCTTCAGTATTGCCTGGTCAACTATGAAGTAGTTAAACCACTACGGCGATGTTACTGCCATAATTGTTTAAATGTTGCAATGGTTTAACACATATGAACATTATTACAATATGTTGACACGCCTCCGAGGCTGACACACATTTTCCGTTGGATGTACAAGGGGTCAATAGCATGTCAACTATTGCTATTGCATGGCAACTATATCTATTGCATGGCAACTATTGCTATTGTATGTCAACTATTGCTATTGTATGTCAACTATTGTTATTGCATGGTAACTATTGCTATTGCATGGCAACTATTGTTACTGCATGGTAACTATTGCTATTCCATGTCAACTATTGCTATTGCATGGAACCTATTGCTATTGCATGGCAACCATTGCTATTGCATGGCAACCATTGCTATTGCATGGCAACTACTGCTATTGCATGTCAACTATTGCTATTGCATATCAACTATTGCTATTGCATGTCAACTATTGCTATTGCTTGACTATTGCATGTCAACTATTGCTATTGCATGTCAACTATTGCTATTGCATCTCAACTGTTCCTATTGCTTGACTATTGCATGTCAAATATTGCTATTGCATATCAACTATTGCTATTGCATGGAAACTGTTGCTATTGCTTGACTATTGCATGTCAACTATTGCTATTGCATATCAACTATTGCTATTGCATGTCAACTATTGCTATTGCTTGACTATTGCATGGCAACTATTGCTATTGCATATCAACTATTGCTATTGCATGTCAACTATTGCTATTGCATGTCAACTATTGCTATTGCTTGACTATTGCATGTCAACTATTGCTATTGCATGTCAGCTATTGTTATTGCATGTGAACTATTGTTATTGCATGGTAACTATTGCTATTGCATGTCAACTATTGCTATTGCTTGACTATTGCATGTCAGCTATTGCTATTGCATGGCAACTATTGTTATTGCATGGTTACTATTACTATTGCATGACAACTGTTGCTATTGCATGTCAACTATTGCTATTGCTTGACTTTTGCATGTCAACTATTGCTATTGCATGTCAACTATTGTTATTGCATGTCAACTATTGTTATTGCATGGTAACTATTGCTATTGCATGGCAACTATTGCTATTGTATGTCAACTATTGTTATTGCATGGCAACTATTGCTATTGCATGTCAACTATTACTATTGCATGTCAACTATTGCTGTTGCATGTCAATTATTGCTATTGCATGTCAACTATTCTTATTGCATGTCAACTATTGTTATTGCATGGTAACTATTGCTATTGCATGTCAACTATTGCTATTGTATGTCAACTATTGTTATTGCATGGCAACTATTGCTATTGCATGGCAACTATTACTATTGCATGTCTACTATTGCTGTTGCATGTCAACTATTGCTATTGCATGTCAATTATTCTTATTGCATGTCAACTATTGCTATTGCATGTCAACTATTGCTGTTGTAGGATTTCGTCGATGATCCGCCATGATGCTTTTGACAGTAATTGCCTTGGTGATTCGATCACACGGTACCACCCACTGAATCTGGCCTTGTGTTTGGTCGTGTGTCTGGACTATATGTGGCCTTGTACATTGCACACACACACCCTCCACCTTTTGTCCTGAAAGTACATTACATTACTAGTGAAACTCACGTGAAAATGAAGAGTGCACCCCCCGTGAAAATGAAGTGTGCACCCCCCGTTTCTTAAGAGTGTCTCCCTCTCCCCTTCCCCTTTCTCAAAAATCTGTATCCGCCCCTGAATACCTGCATCCTACCTTGTACATTGCTTGAGTGGGGCCTTGTACATTGCTTGTATCTGGCCTTGTACATTTCTTGTATCTGGCCTTGTACATTGTCTGTATCTGACCTAGTTCATTGCTTGTATTTTGCCCTGTGCATTGCTTGTATCCGACCTTGTATCTGACCTTGTACAATGAACTGCATCCTTCCTCGTGTCTGGCCTTGTACATGGTTATTAACACTCACATTGTATCGAATATGAACCTAGAATAATGTTTGGTCATCATCTTAGTAGATATCATAATTGATATTAAACTAAAATAAATATGGAAGGACAAATAGATCGTCAGTGGAAATACTCAAATGGGCGCTTGTGAGGAGTTATTTAAACAAGTGCCATGTGTGTATTTGAATCTCTCACCGTGTTTGCCTCTATCTAGCTCTATTAACAATTATTCACGAAACACAGTTCTTTTGGTCATGTACTTTTTGTTATCAAAATGTACATTTTTCAAGATATCTTAAACGATCACTTTCTTCCTTAACCGATTTAAGTATTCGAGATTATTTTTGTCGAATGACGTCGGTCCTTATGCATAGTCTGATTGTTTTATCGTTTTCACACATATACTAAGCAACAAAAGAAACGTCAGTTTGGAATTTTCCTTCCCAGAAACGGATAACTGTAAATACATTTTATGTTTTGATTGTATATTTTTGACAACATCTCCAACGTTACCTGAGCAAAGACATTCCTTCCCAAACTCAGAATTGAACCCAGGAAATGGTCTCAAAAACGCAACATTATCTCGGAGATGGTACGGTGTTCTCCATGTTTTTCATGCAACTCATGCTGCACGTGCTGTTCACAAGGACCAGCCCTATAAAATGCACCCCCAAACCTGGTTGAAACATTCATATTACAACGTCAGCAGGATGCCGCGACTCACGACAGCTCAGAGGAGCCAGGCGCTAGGAAGACTTGAAGCTTGCCACACTGCACAAGCCTTTGCCAATCACATCCAGGTCAACGTTCGGACCATCTACAGGCTGCAGCAACGTTTCCGGGTCACCAACAGCACAAATGATCGCCCCGTACTGGCAGACCAAGGGTGACCACAAGACGACAAGACCGCCATGTTGTGCGACAGCATGTACAGAATCCCTTCATGCAGGCATCCGAAACAGCACGCCAGCATTCAGAGGAGACTGAATAATGTCATACCAAGGCCGAACACAGCCGATTTATTGCGCCAGGCCTTTCTCGGTGTGGTTCCAGGTGCCAATGGCCTTCATCAATCTTTTGGTGGACTCCATGCATAGACGCTGTGCTGCAGTTATGGCCGCTAGTGGTGGTCACTCTAGATACTGAAGTCAAGAGTCTGAATGGACAGCAAACATTCACGTAATGCCTTGAAAATGTGATGAGTTATTCATCGATGTGTCAAGATATTGTACACAAAAATGGTTTTGATCCGCTTATGACAACAATAATCCCAATCAATGGTTTATATTTCTGCAGCTATGATGCTCCGTGTCCATCTGTGGTCCATCTGCCTGCTGCTTGGTCTGATGTTTGGTGCACGCCCAGTATATGCTGGAACTACACGCACCTGTTTCCTCCAGGACCGGACCCCCCATCCCAGGGGCATCTGTGACAATGTCCCTGAAACGATGAGAAGGATCTGCCGTCTGTTCCCGAGAAACGCGCGTTCCGTTGGTAAGCTTTGGTCTTCGGATTAACCATGATAATATTAACCATTATAATATTGACCATTATAATATTAACCATTATAATATTGACCATTATAATATTAACCATTATAATATTGACCATTATAACATTGACCATTAAAATATTAACCATTATAATATTAACCATTATAATATTAACCATTATAATATTAACCATTATAATATTGACTATTATAATATTGACCATTCAAATATTAACCATTATAATATTAACCATGATAATATTAACCACTATAATATTGACCATTATAATATTGACCATTAAAATATTGACCATTATAATATTAACCATTATAATATTTAAGAAGTACACTTCGCTCTACCACCATGTATAGTGTAATAAAACACACTTTTGCCCTGAACTATTATAGTTAAAGCACGAGGACGCTTGCGTCCGAGTGCTTTAACGTTATAATAGTTCAGGGCGAAAGTGTGTTTTATTACACTATACATGGTGGTAGGGCGAACTGTATTTCTTTTCTAAGATGCCAAATTTAATACTTTCTAAAGATAATTACGATTAATTTAAGGCAGAAAACAAACGACGGTGTCGGTGACCTAAATTAAGAATCCTCGCACAGGGCTAACTGGCGCGCTGTTCTATTGATGTGTCTGCCCCCTACGTTAAGACGAACGTTACCAGAAAAAAACAAATGATAACAGTTTGATGACGGTTTACGTTCGGATTAAATATCTTCTTTGAATTATTTTAATTACATCTGTCATTAACATAAACCATATGGGGCAATATGTACATTGCATTTCTACAACCAGCGTAAGTTTAGATCAGTACATCCAGAGGAAGTTGAGTAGTCAAGCGACATTCCACAATTGCATTGTGGGAATGTACACATTACGAACGTTACCTTGTCGCTGAAAACTTGTGAGTCGAAATGACACATTTTAACCGTCGTAAAACATAAACGTAATGTTTCCACCAGTGATGTTAGCTGCGTGAAGCAACAGCAAACCAAGAAACTGGATGCAACGGTGTAGTTTACTGTAGGAGGCCGTACGAGGCGATGACAACTGACATGCATCGTGACGTCGCTTACATTGTGACGTAATGTAAAATGGTTCGATTACGAGGGGGCACACTAGAATGGCGCAGTGACGGGATAACGTCATTCAATGGTTACGTCATCAAAAAACTAAACCTTTATTGTCTGATTATGTATTTTTTTTTCGATTGTTCTAACCGCTAGGCATCTTAGAATAACCATTATAATATTAACCATTATAATATTAACAATTATAATATTGACCATTATAATATTAACCATTATAATATTGACCATTATAATATTGACCGTTAAAATATTAACCATGAAAATATTAACCATTATAATATTGACCATTATAATATTGACCATTATAATATTGACCATTATAATATTAACCATTATAATATTGACCATTATAATAATAATAATAATAATATTGACCATGTCACAATAATAATAATAATAATAATAATAATAATAATAATAATAATAATAATATTGACCATTATAATATTGACCATTATAATATTAACAATTACAATATTAACAATTATAATACTGACCATTATAATATTAATCATGATAATACTAATCATTACAATATTGACCATTATAATATTGACCATTATAATATTAACCATTATAATATTAACCATTATGATATTGACCATTAAATATTGACCATCATAATATTAATCATTATAATATTGACCATTACATAATATTAACCATTATAATATTAACCATTATAATATTGACCATTATAATACTGACCATTATAATATTTACCATTATAATATTTACCACTATATTATTGGCCATTATAATATTAACCACTATAATATTAACCATTATAATATTGACCATTATAATATTGACCATTATAATATTAACCATTATAATATTAACCATTATAATACTGACCATTATAATATTAACCATTATAATATTGACCATTAAAATATTAACCATTATAATATTGACCATTATAATATTGACCATTATAATATTAACCATTATAATATTGACCATTATAATAATAATATTAATATTGACCATAAAACCATTATAATAAAAATAATAAAAATAATAAAAATAATAATAATAATAATAATAATATAGACCATTGTAATATTAACAATTATAATATTGACAATTATAATACTGATCATTATAATATTTATCATGATAATACTAATCATTACAATATTTACCATTATAATATTGGCCATCATAATATTAACCATTATAATATTGACCATTATAATAATAATATTAATATTGACCATATAACCATTATAAAAATAAAAATAATAATAATAATAATAATAATAATTATAATAATAATAATAATAATATTGACCATTGTAATATTAACAATTATAATATTAACAATTATAATACTGATCATTATAATATTTATAATGATAATACTAATCATTACAATATTTACCATTATAATATTGACCATTATAATATTAACCATTATAATATTGACCATTATAATAATAATAATAATAATAATATTGACCATGTCACCATAATAATAATAATAATAATAATAATAATAATAATAATAATAATATTGACCATTATAATATTAACAATTACAATATTAACAATTATAATACTGACCATTATAATATTAATCATGATAATACTAATCATTACAATATTGACCATTATAATATTGACCATTATAATATTAACCATTATGATATTGACCATTAAATATTGACCATCATAATATTAATCATTATAATATTGACCATTACATTATTAACCATTATAATATTAACCATTATAATATTGACCATTATAATACTGACCATTATAATATTTACCATTATAATATTTACCATTATATTATTGGCCATTATAATATTAACCACTGTAATATTAACCATTATGATATTGACCATTATAATATTGACCATTATAATATTAACCATTATAATATTAACCATTATAATACTGACCATTATAATATTAACCATTATAATATTGACCATTAAAATATTAACCATTATAATATTGACCATTATAATATTGACCATTATAATATTAACCATTATAATATTGACCATTATAATAATAATATTAATATTGACCATAAAACCATTATAATAAAAATAATAAAAATAATAATAATAATAATAATAATATTGACCATTGTAATATTAACAATTATAATATTAACAATTATAATACTGATCATTATAATATTTATCATGATAATACTAATCATTACAATATTTACCATTATAATATTGACCATTATAATAATAATATTAATATTGACCATATAACCATTATAATAATAAAAATAATAATAATAATAATTATAATAATAATAATAATAATATTGACCATTGTAATATTAACAATTATAATATTAACAATTATAATACTGATCATTATAATATTGAGGGCCTGATGATGTACGCCTCTCCGTGGTGGGCCTAGATAGGGGAATTATATTCCCTGAACCAAACGTGCATCACCCAGTTAGGGCTGACCCCCCGAAGCTGGTTTTTCACTGGGTTACAGACAGCCAAAAGGAAAGTTTAAATTCACTTCCGCAGCCCAGTCAGCCTTCCTCCGGTAGTGACACCAACCATACTGGAGATGGGACTTGCCCCAGGGGAAGGCACAGAACCCGACCAAGAATATCTTGGTCAAACCACCTTAAAACCACACTACTTGAGTGTGCGAGAGCGACAGGATGGCCTGAAAATCCACGAATCAATGGCAAGTCGCTGAAGCTGCATTGGGACAATGCCATGCCCATGTATGCTTACCTGACGGAGCAAAATCTCCGCGACCAATTCCGGCGGCTTAAAAAATCTCTTGCCCCGTGAGCCAGTTCAACCCACAACTGGTGCCCGTCAGGAACCTTTGCATGAACAGAATGCTCAAGTGGCAGCAGACCCAAAACTTCGAATGGACGTCCGTGTCAACCTCTTTCCTCTTGCTGATGGAAACTCCTCCGACAAAGAGGTAATTGGCCCCGAAATTTCGGACCCTCACTCTTCCTCTTCTTCAGTTGCAGATCTTTCCGAAAACCCTGTGTATATTTTGTTTCATTCTATTTATGATGAAATATCTGGCATACCTTTAGAAAATCGGAGGCCAATTAAACAAACAAATGAATCTTTTCCCAAAAATGAAATCAATTTATTAAATGATATTATTTCTATGAAACTTTCAAAGGACTGTTCATTACATGAAGTTAATTGTTGTGTCTACGCTGCTGCTCGAACCTTGGAGGAAATTCACATAGTTTCCAAAGAAAAAAAACATCTAACACTAAGAACAATACACCAAAGAAAAACCGGTTTCAAGTAAAACTAACTGAAACTAGAAAATACGTTTCCTGGATAGAACTGTGCCTGAAGTTAAGATCATCAGGGAGTCCAATGTCAAAACGGCAAAAGGCAATTTGGAGAAAATTAAAATTACAATACAAGACAACAAAAGAAAAGATACTTCTCCAAATTGTCGATTCCCTTAAGGCAAAAATAAAGGTTTGGACTGAAAGAAAGAAAAAATGGGAAAAGAAAAATAAATTCATCAAACAAAATAAACTTTTTAGAAATAATGAAAAAACACTTCTACAGGCAACTGAAAACAAAAGGTGATGGTGAACATGACAAACGGCCTCCCATGGATGCCAATGAAAGGTTCTGGAAACAGTTGTGGTCTGTACCCGGCAACTGTAACCTTGAGGCACCATGGGTCCGTGATTATGATCATGCAATGCATGAGAAGGTAACTAGGTCGTTTGTCTGTTACATCTCACCAGATTGCCTGAAAAGTGTTATAAAAAAGTCCAAATCTAATACAGCTCCAGGGCCTGATGGCATTCGAAACCGGTATTGGAAACTGTTCCCCTGTGTCCAAACACCATTACTACACTGTTTCAATACTCTCGTGGACACAGGTGATGTTCCTCCATGGTTCTGCAAAGGTCGCACAATACTTCTCCCCAAGAAAGGAGACTTGACTGATCCCAAAAACTTCCGCCCTATCACATGTTTGAATACACAATACAAAATATTCACAGGGTGTTTGACAAACCTCGTGTCATCTTACTGCTCTTCCAATGATATAATTTACAGAGAGCAGAAGGGGGCAAGAAAGGGATGTTGGGGGTGCAAGGATCAACTTCTTGTACAGAAAATGATTTTGGAAGAGGCTAAAACATATCACCGCAACCTCTCCATGTGCTGGATTGACTACAAAAAAGCATACGACTCTGTCCCTCACGAATGGATTCTGAAGTCTCTTCATTGTATTGACCTCCCTGAGCGACTACTTGATTTACTCAAGTCTTTAATGAGTTGCTGGTCAACTCAACTTGAGATGTACTCACAAGGGCAGGTGCAGACTTCGGAATCTATTCCAATCAGAAGGGAATATTTCAGGGGATTCCTTTAGTCCTTTGCTTTTTTGTCTTTCTCTAAATCCTTTGAGCTTTCTGCTCAATAAAGAGGAGGGTTACCATCCCGGACCTCCTCAGCACAGATCCCCAACACCTCTTACTCATCTCCTTTACATGGATGACATCGAACTCCTTGCCAAAGGAGATTCCAATTTGAAAGAGCAGGTTCTCCTTGTCGAGTCCTTTTCTAATGATATTGGTATGACATTTGGACTCGACAAATGTAATACTCTTCATTTGAAACGTGGCAAGGTAACTAATGATGGATCGGTCAGGTTACAAGGGGGAGGAGTTATTGAGCATCTTGTGGAAGATCAGGCCTACACCTATCTTGGAATGCAAGTTCGCGACAAGCTCCAGAATGCCCAGATTCAAGAAAAACTTCGGGCCGAGTATAAATCTCGTTTAAAGAAAATCTGGAGCTCAGAGCTAAATGCTCGTAACAAGGTCAAAGCCACCAATACTTTTGCTGTGCCAGTCCTCTCCTATTCCTTTGGAGTAGTTGATTGGACAAAACAAGACATCCAGAGTCTTGACCGTCTGACCAGAAGGATCATGTCTGATAACAGAGCCCACCACCCTCGTTCCTCTCTTAACCGTTTATACATGCCAATCAATTCTGGAGGTCGGGGTTTGATTAATGTGGAGGCTCTTCATGACAGAATTTTATTGTGTACTTTTGCACATATTTATTTATCGGATGATCCTCTGGTGATGCATGTGAAGACTCATGATGAAAGCAAGGAATTCCACAGCTATTTTAAGCGTGCCAAGGTTGTTGGACAGAATTTGAAATTTGAGGTTGACTTTGTTGAAGGCAATGTACTGCTGGACGGTACAGCGATGGGAGTAAACCAGGTGAAGTCCTTTACCAAGTCTGCCCAGAGTCGGTCTTTTGTGGAGAAGCTTTCTGAGAAGCCATTGCATCGTGTGTACATGCAGTGTGTGGAACAGAATAGCAATCCCACCGACTCCTTCGCCTGGATGAAGTCGGCTGGTCTTAAATGTGAAACTGAGGGCTTCCTTTTTGCTGCTCAGGACCAGTCACTTCCCACTCGTAATCGCCTAAATGTGATTCTTAAAGAGAATATTAACATGAAATGTCGACTTTGCAATGAATTTACAGAGACTGTCCAACACCTTGTCAGTGGATGCCCTTCCTTGGCACAAACAGCATATCTTAAACGACATGATGGCATGGCTCGCTGTTTTTACTACCGTCTCCGCCATGCCTGTGGCTTTGACTCCGAGGTCCGTCCATGGTACGACCCTGAACATGTCCAGGGCGTCATGGAAAATGATGCTTTCAAACTTCTCTGGAATAGGCCCATATACAGCCTCAGAAGAATTCCAGCTAACAAACCTGATCTTGTCCTTTTTGATAAAGCCAATGAATTTATTTATATCGTTGAATTTTCTGTCCCTTTTGACACCAATGTGATTGGCAAGATTAAGGAAAAGCATGATAAATATGCGGACCTCGCCTTTGAAATGTCTCGCTTGCATCCCAAGTACACTGTCGTCAGGCTCCCCATTGTTCTCGGTGCCCTTGGTTTGGTACCTCCTGATCTCTTGGCGCAGATCAGGAGAGTGCCCGGGTTTTCCACCGGGAGCACAGCCCTTCTGACACTCTGGGTAATGCAGAAGGCTGCAGTGTTGGGGAGCCTCCATATTCTCCGGAAAGATCTTGGTGGGTTCGACTAGGCAGCGTTTCCTGGGAGAAGTCCCATTCGCTGTCTGGGCTGCGTGTAGAGGGAGCAAGGGCCCTGAGCTGATGATGAGCCTTACCAGCCTGACTGTGCCAGGATCACCCGAACCCTCTCTGCTGCATACAATTTTTAATCTGTAAAACATAATAATATTGACCATTATAATATTAACAATTATAATATTATCAATTATAATACTGACCATTATAATATTAATCATGATAATACTAATCATTACAATATTTACCATTTTAATATTGACCATTATAATTTTAACCATTATAATATTGACCATTATATTATTAATCATGATAATACTAATCATTACAATATTTACCATTATAATATTGACCATTATAATATTAACCATTATAATATTGACCATTATAGTATTGACCATTATAATATTTACCATTATAATAATAATAATAATATTGACCATATAACCATTATAATAATAATAATAATGATAATTATTATAATAATAATAATATTGACAATTATAATATTAACAATTATAATATTAACAATTGTAATACTGAACATTATAATATTAATCATGATAATACTAATCATTACAATATTTACCATTATAATATTAACAATTATACTATTAACAATTATTATACTGAGCATTATAATATTAATCATGATAATACTAATCATTATAATATTGACCATTATAATATTAACAATTATAATATTGACCATTATATTCTTATGAATATACTAAAGAATGAAGGCTTTTCAGTAGAATATTTTGAAATTAAAAGAAACTTATTTCGATTACTATTATGTTAACCCAAGAGACTAAGGATATTTAAATAAGTGAAATAAAGCATTACGAATTTGTCGTTTAACATGATCTTGTGACGAATGTGAGTTTCAAGGCCCTGTCACACTTCTGCGTGTCCTAATTCCTTATGAGTTGCGCACTGACATTTCTTTCATACGCAGTTGTACGCACAATACGCACTTCATGTGCATAGCAATCGTTTTGTGTAAGTTTTACGTACGCCGGCATGCGCACAGTACGGCCCAGTACGCCTGACAGTTTTGGGCATGCACAAAACTATGCTGCGTACACTGTTAGCAGGTCATAAGATACGCAGCGCATCGGTCCGCATCGGGAGAGCGCGGTACGCGTATGCTACGTGTTTGCATATGCTACGTGTTCGCGGTAATACGCGTATATTGGACGTACACATAGCATACTTGCAGTGAAGATACAACGCACGCTGAACGAACTCCTAGCGAATGCCGACGTATTGCAGGAATAAGTACCGTTTGTTTACCGCACAAGCGTACTTGGCGAACATCCAGGGTACAACAGATTTGGTATGAATGGCTCCTCTAGACTCCAGGCGAACATGATGACAAAAGGTTGACGTTCACGCTATGGAATCTGCGCTGGTAATGAAAACAGCGGGAAGTGGCCGCCTTTTTAATAAATCGGGTATACGCTCGGAATACGTCTGGCATTCATCGGAAGTTCAGGCATGCGGTCGGCATAAGTTGGGTGCGTGTGGAATACGCTCGACATGCGCACTGCATATGCAGCTATGTGCAGCAAGAAAAATAGTGCTACGCAAATCATACGGAATGGATGCGCTGAATTTGTTATTAAAACGCCAGATATGCGTCACACATATGTCGAAGTAATCGAAAAATGTCGCAATTTTGAGCGTACGACTGCGTATTGAAATCGTATTATAAGGAACTCATAAGCATTAGAAAAGTGTGACAGGGGGCTTAAGAGATAGTGTTGTATATATATGCACACACACATACATACACACACACACATATATATATACATATATGTGTGTATATATATATATACATATATATGTGTGTGTATATACACGTATATATGTATATATATGTACATATATACAGGTATACAACAGGGGGTATAGGGAGGTATATATATATATACAGGTATATATCCCCATTGTATATCTACCCCGTCTATCCCCGCTTCATATCTACCCTGTATACTCCCTTTCGTATCTACCCTGTATATTCTCCCTTCATATCCACCCTGTATATCCCCCTTCATATCTACCCTGTATATCCCCCTTCATATCCGCACCTGTATATCCATTTTCATATCTGCAGCTGTATATGCCCCTTCGTATCTACCCTATATATCCCTCTTCGTATCTACCCTGTATATCCCCCTTCATATCTGCCCTGTATACCCCCTTCATATCTACCCTGTATATCCCCCTTCATATCTACCCTTCACTATTTACCCCTTCATATCTACCCTGTATATCCCCCTTCATATCTACCCCTTCCTATCCACTTCCTATCCCACTATATAACCTGATTGTTTCTTACAGATGTTGATTCCGGCCAGGAGCTGGTGAAGTACCGAACGTCCAAGAAGTCTGCGCTCTCCTACCTGTCCAAGCGGACGGGGTCGCAGGGGTTTATCTGTGAGTGCTGCTGGAACCAGTGTTCCCCCCGGGAACTCGTGGAATACTGCGGTCAATAGAAACGGTGACCACAAGAGTGACTTGAACTGCCCTTTCAACAGCAGCTCTGTACCATATGTATTTACCAGCTTGAAAAGTCCACCATGGCCATATTAGAATGAGACTTAAATCTATTGTATTGACAGTAATTATGTTCACAAGAGAGCCATTGACCTAGATGTAAATGGCTTGGCGTAAGTGTTCGATACGAAAAGGTTTGTTTTTCAACAAAGGAAATTTTGTTCAATTGTTAATTTTGTTTTAATGTAATAATGTAAGTATGCCAGTCAAAAACAAATAAAAAATAAAATCAAAGAATTGAATAAATGATTCTGTGGAATTCCAGCTTGTTGGTTTATTAGTTCCATACATTTTAGACAGTTTAAGAATCCAATGAGCTCATAGGTACAACGCATCAAAGGCGCCATTTATCGCGATGTAGAGTTGCCTCCCCTGGATGTACCAGAAATCTGTTATCGTGCGTTCGGTGACGTTCATAGCTTTGTGAGCACTAAACTCCTGTTTATGTGTTATCGTATTGCATCACTTCGGGACTGGTCCGACATTGATGACTCGCTGAAATACTTTTCAAATTTTTCTTTAGATTAAATTATTTGTTTGTTGTTTAACGCCACACCAGGGATACGATGACGTGTGTCAAGTCGGCGAGCCTGACCACCCGATCCCGTTAGTCGTCTCTTGCACAAGCGTGGGTTGCTGAAGATCAATTCTAACCCGGATCACCACGGGTCTGTAGGCATGTGTTGAGGATAAGCTAAGAGAAGAGGGATGGCATTCACTCGTGCCTGGCCTTGTACGTGGTTATTAACCCTCAAATTGTCTCGAATATGAACCTAGAAAAATGTTTGGTCATTATCTTAGTACAAACAATAATTCATTTTGAACTAAAATACATTTTGAAGGACAAATAGATCGTCAGTGGAAATACTCAAATGGACGCTTGTGAGGCTTTATTTGACAAGCGCCATGTGTGTATGACCACGAAGACCACGAGCCTGGTGTGAAGCTGACAACCTAAACAGTCAGGATGATTGTGAGATTCGAACTCTTGGTCAGCATAAACATGTACCTTGGTTCATCTGGCCACTCAAACTCTTAAACGTAGGGAAGCGGTATAATTGGTTAACTAGTATAGGCATTTCAACCCATACATTTTCAATTGTATTCCGGAATAGTGGAAATACTTTTTAACAAGTTTCGCTATCACTTAATAAGTTAACATAACGTGTACAGGGGAATTAATTCACAATTGATGTTCCCCTTCGATAATGATTTACAAACAGGAGAAAACGCGGAAATTTTCCTTTACGGCTACGTTGATTGGCTGCACTGACTTCGAAATATAATGAAATATAATGTATATTGTAGAATTTGCATGTACAACAGGCACGGTTCAACACTTTACCCCGCAATATGTTGCAATGAAATGTTTCTGCCAATATACCCTATCAATAATTAGAGAAAACACACACGTCATAGACAATATTTTTATTTTGTGCAAAGGGCACACGTCAGCTCCCAGCCATCAACATAAGGGGGGCAGGGCAGGGCACCGCATTTGGCGTCGATCAGGTACAAGAGATGGCCGTTTGTGTTTGCTTTACCCCCAGGGATAGCCTCTGCTTCGCCATCTACACAGACATAATCGCTGGAAGCAGTATGTTGAGTATTACCGCCAAACAGATAGCCCTTGTATTCCAGATGCCAACCAGGAAAACACTCGTTCCTGGCAGGGACCATAATGGCACTTGTTCTGTTGTGACTCTGGCACACCACACACGGGACATCGTCTTGCAACAGCCGGTGTAGAGGAGCGTTCGCTGCTTCTGTTTGATACTCAGTGCCAAAGATATAGCTTTGTGATTCTTCACTAGTGTGCTTTTCGTAGATGGGTGCTTCGGGGAGGCACAGCGTTGTTCCCGGACCCCCTTTCGCCTGGTAATGACTTCCACCGGCATAACCTGAAATTAGTCCAACCATACTTGATGAGATATGGGTACCATTCTGACCGTAATTAATAATATTGATGATGACGATGATAAGGATGAGGATGAGGATGAATACTAACTGAACTGCCATAGTATTTCTACACATGATGTAACCATTTGACATCCTTGGTTAGAAGGGCGGTGAGGTGTTCGCTCGTCACGCCGAAGGCCCGGGTTCGATTCCCAATATTCTATGAAACCCATTTCTGGTGTCCTCCGCTGTGATATTGCTGGAATATTGCTAAAAGCGGCGTAAAACCATACCCAGTAAGTCAGACCTTGGTTAAAAACAGAAAGGCAATGAACAATTCAACGTTCTCTTGTTTTCATATCAGATAGTGCACATGCTCCTCTCAAAAAAAGGAACTATTCCGATTCTAGAAAGCTGAATGTGTAATGCTGTATTTTTCCAAGTTCCAATTTGTTATAGTTATAGGACTGTGTCACTGAAAACTATGACACGAGTGCTCGGACTAAGATAAACATGTCCTATCCGGTATTCAACCTAACGATTCAAACACCGGAACATACCAGCATTTTTCACACTCACACTTATATTTCATGTTATTCAAATGTCCATGCTCAGACGTTCTTTGATCAATGTTACAACATTCGAGGTCTCAGTTCAATATAAACAGCTTGGTGTTGTCTTTTTGGACAATACAAAATGGTCTCATCATGCAACTGTTGTAATAGAAAAGGCCTCTGAAATAGTCTCCTCAGCACCGGCGTTAGAGTACGTCCTACCTGGAAATATTTCATCAAACATGTATGAAATGAATGCTAGACCTATCTTAGAATATGCTCCTGAGATCTGGGGTAATTGTCCCGCAGATATATGTGATAAACCTGAAATGGTTCAGCTTGTAGCAGCAAATATTGTAACAGATCTGCCAAAATTCTCTCCAAGAGCTAGTTTGTTCAGTGAAACTGGTTAGACGTACACATAAGAAACTTTGTACATTTTATATATTTGTCAACATGCAAGAACCTGATTATCTTTTAGACTTACTTCCACCATCTACTGAAACTATTTCTCAATACAATTTGCGTAACAAGTCTAATTTTGCCATTCCAAAGTTTCCAACCACAGTTCTTCAAAGTTCTTTTTTTCTGTGATTGTGCTTGTTTATGGAATAATCTCTCCTCCACAATAAAATGTATCGATTCATTATTATCATTTAAATCAAAAAATATCCTAGATATTTCCTATTTGGTAAAAGGAAGATCAATATTCTACACACTAAGTTTCCCGTGTCAATTTATCTAGAAGGAAAGCTTGCTTTTGGGGTGCTCTGGTGAAAGATGCCAATCGTTTCTTTTTAAAATGTCCAAAGTATGTCAGCTGCTGGTTTGAGACCAGGCTTTGAAATCCCAAAAGTTAGCTTAAATATTAACACCATTCTGTACGGCAGGCTTAGTCTGCCACAAACTATACCGGCCGGTAAATGAAAATATTTTTAGTCAAGTCCATGAATTCATCGTTTGTAAGTAAGCATTTCAGTTAATGTGTAATGTGTCTTGCCTCTGTTCATTGTCCATGACATGAATGTTTCGATGTAATTGTCAGGAGCGGGATTTAATAATTTGAATAACTAGCGCCCAATTCCTTTCAAGACTGAATAAAATATATTCAAACAAACAAACAAACAAACAAGTTTTTAAAGCGTTTTACTGCAGACACGTAGGAGACATTTCCAAGTTTGACAGATCAGTGTGTTTGTGAGACGTGTCACGTGTAGGACAGGGTGTGACCCCTCTTGGTGGAGACCTGTTTGTCACTATTTGACAGTAATTCATTAAAAGATGTTCACCATATTTTTAGAATCGTGTAATCGACGTTTCTACAAAAATCGAGATTTTATTATGTAGATGAAGAGCATGTCATCAGTTGTATTTACCTTTGTACACGACATCATTTCCTTGTGGGCATGTTGTCCTTCCCCACCGCGTGAAAGTCGTTCCTCCAGCTCAAAATCAAACAAAAATCAAAGAAACATTTCAGATCTCAATACAAACGATTTCAAAGACGTTGAAAAATGCAGTATAAGTGAGTTTAGTTTTATGCCTCACTCAGCAATATTCCAGTTGTATGGCGGTGGTATTTAAATAATCGTGTCTGGACCAGACAATCTAGTGGTCAACAGCATGAGCATCGATGATGTTTGATGTTTAAGTCATTCTATTTTTAGACTTTGCCCATAGAGACAGCCTATTTCCAGACTATGACTCAAATAATTATCTTTACACTCAGGTTGGCAATATAATGTCATCCATCAGTGTTTTGAAATTCATTCAGGCTTCAGTCGCAAGACGGAACGCGCGACTTGGAAGGTGATGTATGCGGACACCAAGACGTGTATGGACAGTGCCCCTCCCCTGATTAAACCTCTACGCTAGAATTCTTATCAGTCTTGGCCAGTGGATATGAAACAGAGAGCTAGCCCAAGCAGGAACTGTGTACTTAATCAGAGGGGATGCTTGCAAGTGTTGTCACTGTGTTCTCGTTCTCAAGAAAAGGAAACATGGTCTCCAGACTGTCCGTATTTGACCCTGGTGGGAGTACCTCAGAAAGATGTGACCAGCTGGGGGTACTCATGTGAATTTACATTTGTAACTAAGAGAGCGATGTTCATTGTAAAATACTGTATATTTCATTTGCGAAACTGTATCTGTTATTGGTAATATATGAATATTAGAATATATTTGAATTAATTGTTGCCTATGTCTCGAGTTTGTCTTTCGTCGATGTATTAATAGAGGTTTGCTCAAATGCTAATTGTTTTAAGATCCCAATCACGATAGGAGTAGGAGCTTGTTTTTTTAGAATTATTGCAAATGGCTAGGCACATGTTGAACCATTAAGTTTTTTGTACAAGTCAATGTATTAAGGATCGTGTGGCCATTCTAGCCTTATTTATCTGTGGACCAGTGACAGTGACATTTCACCTCAAGCTGCTCCGTTTTGGTTTTCATCATGAATCTGTGATACAATCTCTTCGTACCCGATGTTGATAAATGCTGCTTACATGCTCCAGGCTGAAGGGAAAGGAGATCCTTATCATTCAATTATGTGTGGAGGAGAAAAATCTGTCATGATATCTGTTGATTGATTTTTTGGAATTGCATAACCGATTGTGGAAGAAAAAGACAATAGAAAATACCCAGATACCTCAGAACAGCTTAAGATACATTTGGTTACACTTACTCAACAAGTGGTCAAACAGGACCAAGCTCTACTGAGATGCAGAAGTCTAAAAAGAGACTTATAAATCACTTCCTCCTAGATTCACAAGACTCACATGAAGAAACGGAAGACAAATTAGATCAATACAGCTAGTAGACAGGTTCGCCATCATTTAGACTGGGACCACTATGCAGTCAACAACGTGTCCTGTGTGCTTTCAGACATTTTCCAGGACAGACAACATGCTGAGACATAGAAAACACAAACATCTACAACCCTCTCCTCCCCTCTCATGGCCGCCTCCACCTCCACCTCCCCTCCACCAAATCGGCATTTGTGGTACAACAAAGACCCTACTCAAAGAAGAAACTGTCATTATCTGCTTATGTTCAACAACCCTATCTATAAACATCCCATCATGACTTTTGGCAAGGCAAATGTATCCAGAAAATTACAGATATTTCATGGACCTATTTTCAAAGAGCTACCCAGGTCTACCCAGAGGACTTATGGATACTTGTTGGTAGGTCTAAAACCACAAACACCTCACCATCTGTCCCAAAACATTCAGTGTATGGAAGACATCCAAGCTTCATTTCAGTCCAAGTTAAACTTTCGCAGTGAGCAGCCGTGTGAAGAAAACTTCCCAACAATGCCATCTTGTGATGTTTCAAGACATGCATATTTTAAAAAACACAGAAGAAACTGGTGTGCCAAAGAATCCTCAGTCGGACCACCTGGGATACCCCAAGTGGGACTCAAAGGAAGACAACATCTCAGCTGGTGGACTGGGACGTGGTAATGATGAATCTTTATGATATCAGAGATGACATGAAAAAGGAGAACCGTACCAGTGGTGCACGAAACTAAGTTATCTATCTCCCCTCACTCGAGGTTAACAATGTGTTACATATAACATGTCTGTCACTCGCATTTACAAACGAGATAGTTTAATCTCAAACATCATAGCTTTATAACCACATTCTAGTGGTTATAAAGCTCACTTTACATATTCAAAACAGAACCTTTCACCCCTCGGCTAGAAACACAGTGACCCAATTTCTGTGGTGAAAAGGGCTTTGTGTACAGAACCTCAGGGAGAGTAGCTATGAAACAAGTGCTGTGAAGCAAAGCGCCTTGGTGTGAGGGTCGGACAATATGTTTTGGAGTTACCTTTCATAAATGCTTATATTTAATCTTATGCTTAAATTGCTGGTTAATCAATTAATTTAATCACAAAATCATGAGATTATAATATAAGCTTAAAGTATCGGATTTTTGTGTGGAATTTACTGTGGTTTTCATATTTATGGACTCTCAAGGTAGGAAGTACTACAATTTGGATAGCATTATTACATTTGAATGTCACATTTCAATAGTAGATTTATATTTAGTTAAAACAGCAAGGGACGCCGACACTCCCAATATGGTTATCCACTGATTTGAAATATTGTATCATGATGTATTAGGAAAGTATAGTGATGACATGATGAGATGTGGGATTCTTTAATGATTTAATAGATTTTGAGATTATCATTCATGCCAACAGGTCTGTCGTCGAACAGCACCAACATGAAGGGGGTTTATTGTTCATCAAACAATGTATTTTTTATTGCTGTTATGTGTATTTAGTAGATATGGTATATTTATATGAACTTTTGTACAAGTCAATGTATTAATGATTTTTTAAATAAGAGGTCAAATGCCATATTCATTGTGGGGTGAAGTCATAATCAGTCTGTATTTTCACATGAATGAGTTACTTGTACCATCCCGAAAACATCATGAACACCCTGGAAATAATGGATTGTTTACTGTACTTCTCCCTGGATGAATATTGTGTTAGGATGGAGATGTATTAACATGAAGTGATTGTGTGTTTCATTGGACAATCATATGGATATTATACATGCTGATCTACAACGGAGGTAAGTTGCTTTTGAGTTGACTTTTAGCTTCATGTTAATATTATGTACACTAGATATCAATAGTGTTATCCAATGAAAGTAGGTATCCAAATATAAATCCAATGAACCACACTGCATAATCCAAAGGTAATTATAAATCAGGATATGGCATACTGTTATATCCAAGTTGACTCCTCAAAGACTCAGATGAGAATGAATTTCAAAACACTGTTTGGGAACATTTCAATCCCTATCTGAATCTAAAAATTGACAGTAGATTGTAAAGCTAAAACAATAGACTCATTGTTAATCAAACAATAGGCCAGGGCTTAGATTTTCGAAGCTCTCCTAGCACTAAGATAGCCGTAAGTACTATACAATAACATTAATTTACGACTTTCTTGGCGCTAAGAGAGCTTCGAAAATCTAGGCCCAGGTGTTGATGATGTCATAAAACAAAATGGCCGACTTTCTGTCTCAATACCTCCCCTTACAACAAGCATGGGTTACTGAAGACCCGGATCTTCACGGATTAATGCATTATGACACCTAGTGCTGGTTCCGTTTGAACCGTATATTTGTTGAAAGCTTAAGCCTTTACCGGAGCTGTTCCAATGTGGAGAGTCAGTTGGTATAATCTTCTCTCCCAGGTGTAACTTTAGCAGTGACTTCAGATCAATCAGGAATCTCCGGTCCACAGGGCAGTCCGCATTGTCCTGATTCAAGGTGGCAGCTGTGCCAAAGGAAACAGATAATGTCTGTTCAACAGTAGCAGCTCCTTGCTTTACATAGTCAACGATACCAAATATGTCGAAGATACTGTTGGACTAGCATTACAATCACACAACATCACAGAAAGCTCTTAAATGTATAGTTCTATTATTCCAGATGTCTTTTTCTTTGCTCATTAAAGAATGATGAGTCAGTCATGTCATCATAACATTTCCTTCATATCAGTTCGTGTTTATTGTTCCTAATAGTCATAGTGTAGTGAATTCCTAGTTGACATGTTAGTCAATGACAACAATGTCAAGATCACGGGAACATGTTTCAAGTCCACATCCACATGCTGAAGTACACAACAGGTTCAACCTCTTTTGTACATTCCTGTGCATTGACTTTTACATGCACAGTTATGAAGTTGAAGAAGGTCCACGGAAACAATTTAGTCTTAACTTATTTGCAACTTTACCAAATTAAGATAATGTTACCAAAAATATGTTTTATAATTATTCAGCTATATCATTTTGAGAGATCATACATACCTTTGGTTGGCACTGTATGCATGAAAATAACAATTCAGCTGATGTCAGAAAGATATATGTTTTGATAAGTCTCAATATTGTTTATATTTGTGTCACTTCACGCTCCAGCTGCACTGGCATGCCGTGATTGAAATCCTTAAAGCTGATAGATGATAATATGACATCCTAATGGAAGGGTTACAAGAGTGACATTATGGTGTGCCATTTTTCTGTTTACAATGTGAAATATTACGACTTTGGTTTTCATGGATTTATTTTACACCGGCAATCATTAATGCATTGTTAAGGATATGACACACTGATCAGTAAGGCGTTATGGTATCTTACCACCAAATATACACAGAGTCATGTCATCATAACGCAAGCAACATTTCCTTCATATCAATTCTTGTTTATTGTACCTAATAGTCATAGTGTATTCCTAGTTCACATGTTAGTCAATGACAACAATGTCAAGATCATGGGAACATGTTTTAAGTCCACATCCACATGTTTAAGTACACAACAGGTTCAACCCCTTGCAGCTACACCTTCCTGTACATTGGCTTCCTTCAGATCTTAACAGGGCACGTCATAGATATACCCGCAGATTCAATTGTTCAAGAGGCTGCAGGATATGTAAGTTTAGACGAATGACAAAGGCCTGTTGTTTCATAGACTGACTCGCCCTCTTCCCACAGAGGGTTACTCAAGTCACACTCAAGTGGGAAGATATGACTTAAGTAGCCTCTGTGGGAAGAGAATGAGATTGCCTTGGTCTTAAGGAAAACTAGAGAATCGATCGTCTAAGCGCGAACACATGAACACATACCTTTGACCATCCCAGCCAAGACGATGACAGCAGCATACAACGTTAGCTTCATGATTGCAGTCTGAATACAAACCCATGTGGCTATGGTTATATATACACTCTATTCACGGGTGTGTCACGTGTAAGTTGTTCAAGAATTCTTCTTTCGCAACAGTTTTCAAGTGTTCAATTCAGGCTAAGTGTCAGGTATATTTGCACAGCTGCTGTTGCTCCTTCAATTCAAGTAATGAAGTGCATGAACACAGGAATGTCGTTTCTTAATTTCAACTTCATTACTTCCAATGGATTACTATGGTTCAAACAAGAAGATCAACAACTGTATGGCATGTGGTGATATGCAAGAGGTTGGCGACACGTTCTGGGTCTACGTAGTAATATTTATAGAACACAACGACGTATAGAAGGATTTACAACTCCTGATTTTTACGACACGACGTTTCTGGAATACCTCTTGCCCTTCATCAGGTTGTTGATTGTTACCATTCAACTTCCAAATGCCCATCACGCATCTAATGTATATAGGGGTTGGTTGCAATTATTTAAGAAAAATATTCCTTTCAAAGACCACGCACGCCTGTCGTTGATAATTGATCTTGTACTCTGTGGCTCGTGGATCGGAGTTAAACGTTTAAGTGTTGTTCGGGTAAATTTATTGTACCTCTTGTATTCCATATATCACTCAGTGACGCAATACCTCCTCACCAGGTTGGTACATGGAACGAAATGTGCTGCCTGCTGTTGATCTGTGTGATGCCATATCGATGTTGATCTGTGTGATTCCATATCAATGTTGATCTGTGTGATCCCATATCGATGTTGATCTATGTGATCCCATATCTTGGCTGATCTATGTGATCCCAAATCGATGTTGATCTATGTGATTCCATATCGATGTTGATCTATGTGATCCCATATCGAGGCTGATCTATGTGATGCCATATCGAGGCTGATCTATGTTTCCATATCGATGTTGATCTATGTCATTTCATATCGATGCAGATCTATGTGATCCCATATCGATGTTGATCTATGTGATTCCATATCGATGCTGATCTATGTGATCCCATATCGAGGCTGATCAATGTGATCCCATATCGATGCTGATCTATGTGATCCCATATCGATGTGGATCTATGTGATTCCATATCGATATTGATCTATGTGATTCCATATCGAGGCTGATCTACGTGATCCCATATCGATGTTGATCTATGTGATCCCATATCGAGGCTGATCTATGTGATGCCATATCGAGGCTGATCTATGTTTCCATATCGATGTTGATCTATGTCATTTCATATCGATGCAGATCTATGTGATCCCATATCGATGTTGATCTATGTGATTCCATATCGATGCTGATCTATGTGATCCCATATCGAGGGCTGATCAATGTGATCCCATATCGATGCTGATCTATGTGATCCCATATCGATGTGGATCTATGTGATTCCATATCGATATTGATCTATGTGATTCCATATCGAGGCTGATCTACGTGATCCCATATCGATGTTGATCTATGTGATTCCATATCGATGCTGATCTATGTGATGCCATATCTTGGCTGATCTATGTGATTCCATATCGATGTTGATCTATGTTATTCCATATCGATGCTGACCTATGTGATCCCATATCGATTTTTGATCTATGTGGATTCCATATCGATGCTGATCTATAATGATCCCATATCGAGGCTGATCTATGTGATCCCATATCAATCTTGATCTATCTGATCCCATATCGATGCTGACCTGTCTGATCCCATATCGATGCTGATCTATGTGATCCATATCAATGTTGATCTTGTCACGATCCCATATCGATGTTGATCTGTGTGATTCCATATCGAGGTTGATCTATTGTGATCCCATTTCGACGTTGATCTGTGTGATTCCATATCGAGGCTGATCTCTGTGATTCCATATCGATGTTGATCTATGTGATTCCATATCGATTTTGATCTATAATGATTCCATATCGATGCTGATCTATGTGATCCCATATCGAGGGCTGATCTATGTGACCCCATATCAATCTTGATCTATCTGATCCCATATCGATGCTGACCTGTCTGATCCATATCGATGCTGATCTATGTGATCCCCATATCGATGTTGATCTGTCTGATCCATATCGAGGTTGATCTGTGATCCATTTCGACGTTGATCTGTGTGGATTCCATATCGAGGGGCTGATCTCTGTGATTCCATATATCGATGTTGATCTATGTGATGCCATGTCGATGTTGATATAATGTGATTCCATATCGATGTTGATCTATGTGATTCCATATCGATGCTGATCTATGTGATTCCATATCGATGTTGATCTATGTGATTCCATATCGATGTTGATCTATGTGATTCCATATCGATGCTGATCTATGTGATTCCATATCGATGCTGATCTATGTGATCCATATCGATGTTGATCTATGTGATCCATATCGATGTTGATCTATGTGATTCCATATCGATGTTGATCTATGTGATCCCATATCGATGTTGATCTATGTGATTCCATATCGATGTTGATCTATGTGATTCCATATCGATGCTGATCTATGTGATTCCATATCGATGCTGATCTATGTGATCCCATATCGATGTTGATCTATAATGATCCCATATCGATGTTGATCTATGTGATTCCATATCGATGTTGATCTATGTGATCCCATATCGATGTTGATCTATGTGATCCATATCGATGTTGATCTATGTGATTCCATATCGAGGCTGATCTATGTGATTCCATATCGATGTTGATCTATGTGATTCCATATCGATGCTGATCTAATGTGATCCCATATCGATGTTGATCTATGTGATCCATATCGATGTTGATCTATGTGATCCATATCGATGTTGATCTATGTGATTCCATATCGATGTTGATCTATGTGATCCCATATCGATGTTGATCTATGTGATTCCATATCGATGTTGACCTAGGTGATCCATATCGATGTTGATCTATGTGATCCATATCGATGTTGATCTATGTGATTCCATATCGATGCTGATCTATGTGATCCCATATCGATGTTGACCTATGTGATCCATATCGATGTTGATCTATGTGATTCCATATATCGATGCTGATCTATGTGATCAAAATCCATGATGAATTATGTGATCCCCATATAAATGTTGATCTATGTGATTCCATATCGATGCTGATCTATGTGATTCCATATCGATGCTGATCTATGTGATCCATATCGATGTTGATCTATGTGATCCATATCGATGTTGATCTATGTGATTCCATATCGATGTTGATCTATGTGATCCATATCGATGTTGATAATGATTCCATATCGATGTTGATCTATGTGATTCCATATCGATGCTGATCTATGTGATTCCATATCGATGCTGATGATCTATGTGATCCATATCGATGTTGATCTATGTGATCCATATCGATGTTGATCTATGTGATTCCATATCGATGTTGATCTATGTGATCCCATATCGATGTTGATCTATGTGATCCCATATCGATGTTGATCTATGTGATTCCATATCGATGCTATATATGTGATTCCTTGTCGATGTTTATCTATGTGATTCCATATCGAGGCTGATCTGTGTGAACCATATCGGGGCTGATCTATGTGATCCCATATCGATGTTGATCTATGTGATCCCATATCGATGTTGATCTATGTGATTCCATGTCGATGTTGATCTATGTGATTCCATATCGATGCTGATCTATGTGATTCCATATCGATGCTGATGTATGTGATCCCATATCGATGTTGATCTATGTGATCCCATATCGATGTTGATCTATGTGATTCCATATCGATGTTGATCTATGTGATTCCATATCGATGTTGATCTATGTGATCCCATATCGATGTTGATCTATGTGATTCCATATCGATGTTGATCTATGTGATTCCTTGTCGATGTTTATCTATGTGATTCCATATCGAGGCTGATCTATGTGTTTCCATATCGAGGGCTGATCTATGTGATCCCATATCGATGTTGATCTATGTGATTCCATATCGGTGCTGAACTATGTGATCCATTTCGAAGCTGATCTATGTGATCCGATATCGGGGCTGATCTATGTGATCCATATCTCGGCTGATCTATGTAATCCCATATCGATGTTGATCTATGTGATTCCATATCGATGTTGATCTATAGCGATCCCATATCGATGTTGATCTATGTGATCCCCATATCTTGGCTGATTTATGTAATCGCTATATCGATCTTGGTCTAAGTAATCCCATATCGATGTTGATCTATGATGATCCATATCGATGCTGATCTATGTGATCCATATCGATGCTGATCTATGTGATCCCATATCGATGATGAGCCATGTGATCAATATCGAGGCTGATCTATGGGATCATATCGATAATGATCTGTCTGATCCATATCGATGTTGATCTATGTGATTCCATATTGATACTGATCTATCTGATCAAAATCGATGATGATTTATGTGATCCCATATAAATGTTGATCTATGTGATTTCATATCAATGTTGATATATGTGATCCATATCAATGTTGATCTGTCAGATCCATATCGATGCTGATCTGTGTGACTCTATATCGATGTTGATCTATGTTGTCCCATATCAATGTTGATCTGTCTGATCCCATATCGATGTTGATCCATATGATCCATATCGATGCTGATACATGTCATTCCATTTCGATGTTGATCTATGTGATTCCATATCGATGTTGATCTATGTAATCCCATATCAACGTTGATCTCTGTGATCCCATATCGATGTTGATCTATGTGATCAATATCGATGTTGATCTATGTGATCTTATATCAATGTTGATATATGTGATTCCATATCGATGTTGATCTATGAGATCCCATATCGATGTTGATCTATGTGATTCAATATCGATGTTGATCTATGTGATTCCATGTCGATGTTGATCTATGTGATGATTCCATATTGAGGTTGATCTGGCGTGATTCCATATCGATGGTGATCTATGTGATCCCGGTATATATCGATGTGATCTATGTGATCCATATCGATGTTGA